AATGACAGTCATCGCTTTTGTATTCACCCGAACAATGAAAATAATTTGCTTCTTTTATTCAACCAAAAATAAAATTACTTTTCCCATTCAAGAACAAGATGATTTGCTTTCAATGAACTTGTCTTTGATGTTGAATTCTTAAAACTAAAATGTTCTATTATGAATATTTTAGAAGAATATAAAGAAATTTTAATCATAGTTTTCTGCTAGATGAATACCTTTTAGAATATTAAAAGGCATTGTTTAAATGTGCATACAGACATTCTACTTTCTGAATCTGTGTTTCAGATATTTACGTACACATAAACAATGTTGATGTATAAAACAGCGTTTATTAATTTACTCAGATATTATATTAATGAAAATATGGTGAAGGCTTTCCCTCAGGGCTTCGAACCGTAATTTTTTCCTTCCGGTTCAACTAAAAAAATATATATCGGTTCAGTTCCGGTTTTTGTTCTAACAAAAATAATGGTTTTCAGTTCAGTTCCAAATGAATTACCTTATTTTATGTATATTCTTATCTTAAATCCTCTAGTTCATTTAATTGAATTAAACCTGCTTTCTACAAGTAGTTTAGAGCAAAACTGAAACAGAAAAGTTCTAGTCAACATCAAAACAGGAAATTGAGGATCAATGTACATGTAACGAGGATAATTATATGGTTGAATTTAAATTAGAAACTATCGACAAGTTGGTTACAGTAACAAAATGACTGAAGTATTATCGAACCGAAATAAACCGACATTTTTTTCCGGTTCGGTTCCGGTTTTCATTCCGACCAAAAATAGCGGTTTTTTTTTCAGTTTTCGGTTAATTTCCGGTTCGAAGCCCTGGTTTTATCCAAAGGTTTCACTAGAAATAGAGAAGTTATGGAAATTTATTTGAATATTTTAATATGAATTTCTAATGAATAATTATATTTTCTTAATAGTCTTAATAGTTGAAATCTTAGTTTGTGTGAGTGTGATTTGATTTCTCTATCGCTTTCATATGAGGTAAAATAATTCTATTTATAAAGTCAAAATTAGACATAAACAAGACATGAAGATTATTTGAAATATTTAGATGGCTAAGTTCACCAAAAAAAACCTAAAGTGTATCACATTTTACTTGATAAAGTATTAGAAATGAGAAATGTGAGAAATAAAGAAAAATATAACAAAACATAGATCACTCTCATAAGCATCTTAGTATTATCTTACTTTGACATAATAATATAGCAAAATAATCAAAATTTTTGGATGGAAATCAAAGTAGTTCAGCATTTAATTACTAAATTTACAGTCCAAAATTTAGATTTTTTTACATACTTGTGAAATTTAATTTAAAGAAATAATTATCATTATAATTTGAATGAACATGGATATCGGCTACAATTATTAAAACAACAAAAATAAATTTAAAGACAAGTGATATTTTTGGTTTGAAATAAGTTTGTTATAAATATATTTGGACTTGTAATAAACTTAATGTAAGAAAGGCAAATTTAATTATTACATTATTTCGAAAGTAGTATTTTTGAAGCAAATTTTGTAAAAGATATTTAATTTTTGGATAACTATTATAATGTAACACTATATTTGCAGTAAAATAGTTTTTAAAGCACTATAACAATGAGCTTTAAAAATATACTCCATACTTTTGTATGATAAATAAAGCATATTCTCACAAAATTTAATCCTAAGTTCGCAACAACAGCAAAACGTAATTGCCATCTATAAATTCTTATACTGTTTAATTGTCTTGAATTTAGCTTAACATAAAACACTAAACCTTTGTAAAAATTCCTGTTACATTATCTAAATGTACTTTTGCATAAAAACATTTATTTACGTGATTTACGAAATTAAATTTTCGTAAAGGAAAAATATACACTATAAATAAAATAAATTTTTAAGATGAAGACACTATAACAATGTTATTTTTCTGAGTACTTAAATTACATAATATTTTTCTATCTTAGTTTACAAATATTAACTACAATTTTGAACTATTTGTGAGGGAGTTTTAGAGTTTAAAAGTATAATAATTTTAATAAGAATTCATATGTCACAGTAATAATGAGATTATAAGGGGACAAAGTACGATTCAAATGACAAAAATCAGTCAAAAAATCAAATTTTTATGGCCTAAATTATTCTTTATATATTTTTCTATAACCTCACACAATTTGAAAGCTCTAAATTTAAAAAACAGGGAATTATGATAGTTTTTATGTTCGTTTTTATTGACATCCCTATGGCAAATCAAAACTTTAAACTTACTTATCTCAGAAAGATAAAATAACTAGTTTGTCTTCATTTAAAATGCTAAGACTTTTTTTCTATTGTGCTTAATGTTATGAAATGTTTTTTACCTATTGCTAATAATCCATGCAACAAAAGTTGGTATGCATTTTTGAATCAAAGCAATACTTATTTTTTTAAAAATATTTGAATTCAGAATTCATACATTTTTTAAGGAATTTTCAATAAGCATTCATAAAAAGAAGTATTGTACGAATACCAATCATGCTATCGCAAAACACAAACCAACTTTTATTATACATAGTCTGACGTACATGTAAATTAAATTTCATAAATTTAAGTCAACTTTTGTAGGAGGAGTAGCATTTTAAAATAACTTCACAAATTTTAAGTTTTTTCCTTAAAAAATAAAATGTCTAGCTTTTTATGAAATTTTGGGCACAAAATCTGTTTTACATAGTATACACACATAGGAAGCAAGAAAGTTTTTTTGAAAATCCTTAAATTAAAATTTTTTGCGTAAATCGTACCATGTCTCCTTAATAACTTTTAAAGCATTAGATAATTTGGAAAGAAAAGTCAATAATAGAGGAAATCCAATTAATAGAATAAAGTCCTACGGAGAAAAGTCAAATCGATAGATTAATGGGTGAGGTATTTCGGGTAAAAGACTACGAATTTTTTTAAACATTTTTTTTTCTCGAAAAAAGTTCGTATGCAAATATTTCCATTATCTTTGACTATGTATTAAAATATATTCTTTTTCCTTTTAAATTTTAGATTAATTAATTTTTCAGAATTTTTTAGAAAAGTAATTAAAGATTCTCATGATAATTAGAAATTTAATTTTATGCACTGAAAATATTTTATTAAAAATCTAGCACCCCATTTTTTTTAAAAAAAAAATGTGCGAAAAATATCCTTAGCGTTTTTGTACTGAACAGTAACTAATATCCTTTTTACAAAAACTTTTTCTTTTTATAAACATGTTTTTTTAATTCTTAAAGTTAAATGAACAATTCCTGAAAATATTCTTGCAAGAAAACAGGAAAATATAACTTAATTAAATTCTTTTATCTCTTACTCTCTGAAGATAAAAATTACCATTAAAGAAATAACAATTTTCTTATTTTTTTTCTGCTGTTTTCTTCCACATCATATCCGCCTCCCTCCTTTCCAAAAAAAACTTTTGCATAACTTCTTTTGATGTGCTTTTTTACTTTCGAATAACTTTCGAGCTAATTACGAATTTTTTCCCTCCATCCAGTTGTTTGAAAAATTGCAGAATAAGCAATTTGAAAAATTACGTGAAAAAACTTACCTTGGCTTTATTTTGATGTATTTAATAAATGCTTTTAGTTAATGTTGGAAGATTAAAAATTTGATAAAAAGTTTGACTTGTCACGTTTTGTCATTAAATCTAAAACAGACTTTGCAATTAATCTGAAGGTTTCAGTAAGTCTAAAAGCTAATGCAGGAAATCCAAAGTAGAAAAAAATTAATGGGACATTTAGTTAGTGGAGTATTTAGATGTTATAGTTAACTCTCGCTGCTACCATTATACTACTGATTATTCTTTCTATAAGACACGTTACTTTTATAATAACTTCGCACATTAATGGCTCATGATCTAATGTAATGAATCAAAAATATTTATCAAAAGTGAAAGAAAAAAAATTCTTTACAAAAGAAATATGAAATATATATATATAAAAAGCAACCACACATAAAAAGGAGAGATTTTTTTTAATGCATATTTGCGTCAACAGTTTTAATTTACCTTATAATCCGACTTATAACGCACCCTTTTTATGTAAAAAAATAAGATCAAAATTTACGAGTGCACTTTCTACCCCGAGTATGAAAATAAAGAAAGATGAGCATATAATTTAGATTTCTACATGTATCTAAAGTTTAGATACTACCACACGTATAGAATTATTGGATAGCATGAGAAAAAAAGTCACGTTCATTTTCCGTTATATCTTCATGCACATCATCGAATTTTATTTCTTTTCTTCTCATCACTGTCACTCTGTTCCACAAATAAGTACCGTAAAATCCGGCGTATAACGCGCACTTTAAACACAAAAAATAAGATCAAAATTTACGGGTGCGCGTTATACGCCGGTTATAAAAATGATAACTTCAAAAATAAAAAAAAGATGTGCGTAAAAAAACTTAGATTTCTGCAAAGATCGGAATACTGTTTATTTAAAAGAAATGTCATATTTTATTTAAACTAAAGGGTTGTTTTTCTAGAAATATACTATTTTTTCAAATTCCCGTGGTAATACCTGGAATAAATAGCTTTAAAACATAATATATCATTGCTACCGTACAATGCAGGTTCCTTCGTAAAAAAAGGGGTGCGCGTTATACGGCGAATATTACTTAAAATTAAAAAATGCAGCTTGAAAGTATATTTGTGTGTTATACGCCGGATTTTACGGTAATCATCTACCATTCCATCTCTAGATTGTTAGTTAACCTATATTTTAAATTGCTTTTTCAATTCGTATTATTAGTTCAATCTCTCCCTATATATATCTTGTTCAAATTTTCAATGGTTAATAAAATACTTTCTATTCGTCTATTCAAGTTCAAATACATTTTTTAAAACTTGTAGTGGATGACACTTGATGTTAATATAGTTTTTTCAAAAATTCATTAATCAAATTAAAGAAATGAATAAATACTAACAAAAACAATAGTCCAACAGCATATATAGAAAAAAAAATCGTTCGCTGACTCCCTGTAGCACAATGGATAGCGCGTTGACGCTTTGAATCCAAAGGTCGTGGGTTCGAATCCCACCTGGGAGGGCCGAATTTCTGAGAATGTGATTTCTTGGTTACTGTACTATTCTATTAGAATAGTTAAATTTAATTAATGAATAAATAGTCCAACACACACACACCCTATATAGAAAGGAAAATGCAAGGAAAATCGCTTCCTATTTTGTCACTTAACATTACGATTCTGTCATATGTATATACATATTTATATTAACTGTAACTATTTAATAAAAAGTAACTCTCTAAAATAAAATTTTTCCTTGTTAACCTAAGTAAGAATTTTGACTTAAAACCCTCTAAAAGCGGTCTGCACTTAAAGTCTTGCCATTCTGGAGATGCTTCAAAAATGCACCGCACATTTTTTTTGCTTTCAAGTGGGGTTCTCAAAAGCGGCTGAGCCGTAATTTTAAGAATGCTGCTCGGCCGCTTTTGAGAATCTTCCTTGAAGGCAGAAAAAGCATCGCTGGAATGGCGGAATTTTACGTGCAGACCGCTTGGAGGGTTAAAGTTTTTTTTATGTTACTTGTTTTAAAATTATGTCAGGTTTAATTCTATTCCATGCTTTAATAATCCTCTCATGTATTAATTCCAGACTTTTAAATAATAATGACAATGCATATGTACTTTTCAGATTTTTAAATGAGCATCATTCGGCGAATATACGTAAATCTTAAAAAATGCAGTTTAAAATTGTAGGTGCGCGTTATACATCGGAATATAAGGTTAATAATTTTGTTTAAATTATTCTCCTCAATCCTAAAGAGAAAATGTTTATAAGCAAACTAAAGTCTGGTTTTTGATACTAAAGTTAGAATTCTAAATTCAAGCTTTCTTTAATTACGACCAAAAGGAATTTAGGTAAAAATATATTGTTAAATTAGTAATAGCGGAATTTATTAATTATTTTGTACTTTCCGTTCCAATAACAAGGACTTAAAACAGGAACATTATTTTCCTCGTTAAATAGAAAAGAAAGATTTCCAAATAGTATTTAAGAAAAATTAGTACATAAAATACGAACTCATAACAATATTTATTTATATGAAATTCTATCATGGGCACATTTTTGTTGCTTTCTTTTTTTATGTACGAGTGAACTATGGTTTTGTAACAAATATTAAAACTAATAGTAATACTGAAATTATTTAAATAAAAGGTATTTTTATTCATAATGTATAATGGAAAATATGCAAAACTTTTAATCATAAAAAGAATATCCACTATACTAACACTCGATTTATGCAACTTGATTATTAATGAGAAATACAGGTTTAATACAGTGGTCTTGAAATAAACACTAATAAATTCAAGTGTTTATATTGAGTAAAAATACACATTATGCTGCTATGTCAGCGTTTCTCAAACTGTGGGGCACCCCCATGCGCGAGCATATTGAAAAGTCGAAAACAAAAGATTATTTATAAAAAAATTATTAATTTACTGAAAGTAAACAAAAACAAAATACATTCTGACATAATAAAAACAAAATTAACATTTACATTGATATAATACACTTTTAAATGTATCAATACTGTGTGTGTGTGTCCAATGTATTTTTTTATATAATTAATTTTACAATACTAAATTAAGAACAAGTAAATTGTTAGTGAGTCCATGGACTTGTCATATATAAAATTATATACAAAAATTAACAATTATATTGATAACTTTTTTGTACGGTTTAAAAATAATCCCTTAACTGCCGATTAAAAGTTACGTGATTTGCTCCCCAATGCCTCCGTTTTCCACGTAGGAGCATGTATGTGAGGTATT